GCACAAGCATAAATCCATGCAATGCTTGTTAATGGGGAGGGTTTTCCAGAGACTTCTCCCTTATAAGTTTTTTTTAATATAGATAAACATGTATATACAAAAACTTTTAAACATTAGATAAACCAATAAGGGCTTTTATTCCTAAAATAATTATCTTACTTTGATTGTTAGAAGGGTAAATTATTACAGATTATTCTGTGCACATCTTGAGTATTTGGAGAATTTGTCTCTGGATAAAATATTTGACTTGAAATTAAAGGTTAGCATAAAATGTTCTTTAACTTCTAAAATGAACTTGAGGATATTCGCACAGAGAAATAGCATACGAAATATTTATTGCTCTTGCTGCTTTATGTAAAAGCTATGACACTGATAATACTCAAATCATCTTGGTTTCTACAGTGTCAAACACCCTCAGAGCTGAGGCCCTTGTCACTGTCTCATTGCCAGTCCAGTGAGATTTTTGGCTCTTCTGTACTCAACTACAAATGCATCACTGTCAAAAGACTGCACTGTAGCTTTAAAAGCAGACCTCAGTGCCACAGTGTTGGCATGACTTCAGTCGGTTCTGTGTGACTCAGATGTTTCTGTTTTTCCCCTTTTCTCTCCCAACTTAAAACATGGCACGAGTCCCATTATAAAGTTCACTCAGTGTAGAGTTTGAAAATATCTGAACATGGCCACCCACAGTAGCCTTAGAAGAATAATCAATTAATCTTGATACCAAAAGAAAAGCATCATCTTCTCAAAGTGTGTGGTAAAGTGTTACAGTTCACTCCGTTTGCCAGTTTAATCCTTTCAAGCATGCATGAAGTTTGGCATTTCTTGTTAAAAAGCCAGATTAAGATGCCTGGAAAAATCCATTAAATAGACAATGTAATCAGTGATTGCGGCCACATATGCTGAATTAATTGGATTATGTAATATGGAGCCAGCTCACTGATTGGTCCTTTTGTACGCGCACCAAGTAATACAAAAATGAGATGGAAAAAAACAGTATAAAAAACTGCAGAATATCAGAATCAGGTTTTTAATGATACTACATGAACTGCAGAACATCTTGAGACAGATCACCATTCATTGCTCCCACCAACACCTATCACAGAGAACATTACACACTGATAAAACTGATGAAAATGCGTCATTAATGGAGTTAGAAATGCAAAAAAATGGAAATGACTGCACGACGTGGGCATAAAACGGGAATTCAGAGTCAGCAATCGAATGAATAAATCTGCTACAGCAGTGGAAATATTCTATTCAACTACTGAACATGCCAACATTTTTCACAGTAAATATATTTCTCTATTGATAGAGTGTTTTGGTCTCATCTGATCAGACTATATACTCTCAATAGTTCATTGGCTTGTCCAGATATTATGCATCAGAAGTTTAGATATACGTCTGTAACTGATGCTATCGGTATATTTTGCAACAATAAGCTTGCAACAGTTTTCAAAGAACTGTTTGCTTTTACTCATCATGAGATGTTTCTTGTGTGACACCTTGGAATTGAAACCATCGATTAGGACTGAACTACCTGATATTAATTTGATCGTAACAGAAATAGATTTCAACTTGTTCATTGGCTTCCCATGGCTTTTTGCACCTCTGTGTTCAAAACGTATTCCCTGTGTCACTCCACTTTATAAAACGTACATATTTGTTTTATATGTGTGAATTACTTTGACTGTTACCGATATCAAGTGACTAGCGGCTAGTCACTTGATATCGGTAACAGTGACTAGCCCCATCAGAAATATATTTACAGAAAAACATGTTGAGTTGTTCAATACTTATTTGGCCTACTTTATTTGTTCATGGTCAAGACATGTACTAGTTCTGTTTCAGGCTATTTTTCAATTTTTTTTTTGATTGTTTCCTTACACCAATTTAGTAATCTGTCTCCTTGAGAATCCAATAAGTAAATACTTAATTTGAAAAGTGCAAATGCTGAATGGCACCATAAGGTGATGTCTTCTTCTTTTTTATTTTACTAAGATAGTATTGGGAGTTCTGCCCATACACTAATGAATACTTCCATCACATGTGACTAGCAAATGTAGTGTCATGAGCACTGGTTACTGCTAAGTTAATAATAAGTACTGGTGAAGGAAGCACCAGTGTGAAAGTTTCCAATCCCGTGTCCCCCAAATTCCAGAGCTAACTAGGTACACTGGAGCCCATAGAGGGTAGGATATAAAGATATGTCTTGGTGGCTCTTGGTACAGGTTGCGCACTCGGAGTATTTAATAGCATCCTGTATCTTTGTATCTTTAGAGACTACAAGCCATTCTCCATCTAATTACTTTACTTAGATCATTTAGATTGTTAATTAGCTCCAGTTCACACTGATAGTTTCACTGGAAAATTTTAACATTGTCCAGCCCTAACAGGAAAATCAATGGGCCACTTGGCCCTTCTACTTCCAGCATCCTTCACTCCTTTCTCACCTGCATTTTTATTCCACCTATGTACGTGTAATGTTTTGTCGCTGAATGACGCAAAGTTGCAACATTAGCACAGACAGACATAGAAACACAGTCAAAGTACTCTAAACCGGCTTTGTGGTAGTTTCTGTACAGTCTGGGACCACATTCCTGATGACATGCACACAGAGTCAACCTGCTAAAACTGATAATGGCAAGTTGTTTTTTAAGTATATTGCCAATAAGCCACTGCTCAACATACAAAGTAAAATCCATATCTTTTTTGATGTATATTCACAAATGTTCTATCACAATCTTTGTTTTTTAACATGGTAACAGATATGAATCTTAATATACTCCCAGTTGGCCACGTTAAACATTAGTGCTTTCACATTTACTCCACATATCCTCAGAAACCCATGAAAACATCACCTTAAGACATCATGACATTGCAAACAACGACTCCCCTCTGATGTTAAAAGAACCCACATTAGTCAGTTAATTTAAAGGGGCGCATGTGACTCTGCCCTCTGTTAATTTGCAAACAAACCTAACAACCCCCCCAAATAAAAAAGTGCAGCACAGTTGATTGCATGCATTCCTTTGATTACATAATCACCCGTGCAAATGTGTAGCTGACAGATCTTGTTCACTACACGCTTGACAGGCAAAGCTGGTGGATTCTCCCTTATTACACAATTGACAACATTATGAGCCGTCTTCTATTGACTCCGCTTACGCTTTCAGTTGTCACTGTAGTTATAGTCTGCTGTCTGTGTGTTAGTTCAAACCCTCTGAGATGCCAGTAAATGTTCTAGAAATTGCAGGTAGACGTAGAACATAGAGCTTGTTTTTTATCTTAACTGGTCACAACCTTGTTGTTCAAGTTAAGAGGACAACAAAGCCCATCTGTTAAACTGTGAGGGAATGAAGAACTCAAGAAGATGAAAGCCTGAAAATAAAAGGGCCCAGACATCTGACAGCCTATTTTACTGTAATCCATGCTTTCGCTGCCTTCAGTTGTTGTGTCAATTATTTGCTGAGGAGCCAAGAATACATGTTTTTTGGAGGACATGATGAAGCAAGACATTTTTAGCAACTAGTGTACCCTTTCTTCACTTTCATAACTGAGCTCATAAAGAGGTTAAATGTTTATTAAAGCAACATACTGGATTTAATGTAATATCATGCTTGAGTCGAATGTAGCAATGCAAGATTGCGTTGCTCACAAGGAGCATTGGATCTCTGGTCATCAATGCATCAAAGAAACCTGGGGGAAGAACTTTTGATCATTTTTAATAAGCGTGGGAGCATAATAGTCTGGCTGACTTCATTACATGAAACATTAGAGTGGCCTGAAATCAGTCTTCTTCTTGTGAGAGTGAGCTAGCCTTCAATGCAAGCTTTATTCAGAACATTTTGAAGGCACCTACAATCAGAGTAAAGCATCTGTCCCCTCCTGCTTGAGACAGAGTCAAATCACACTGACCTCCCCCCACAGAGGAAAAGGAAGGAAGTTTTTTGTTATCAGACACATTGTATGTCCCCTTCTATTTCCAGAAACGGGCAACATGTCAATAATATACAGTAGTTTAACGTGGAAACCAAAATATTAGACCAGACTTGGTCGATCTGTCTTACATGAGAGATTTCACATTGGCAGACTTCCAGCATGGATATTCCATCTTGTCTCAGGCTCAGACATTTGTTACGACCGAATGGGAAAACTGTCTTTGAACTGCATGATTGTGGGATCACACCGTTTGTAACTGCACATATAAATCTGTAACTACGGCAAAGCTGGCCAGAGTGTGTTGCAGACTCTTCATCCTGCACTTTGGTCGGCAGCTGATCTCATTAAAATGTTCTAGATTTTAGGAGTTTGTTGATGCATCGCGGCACCAGCAGGGAGCATGACTGCACCTGTGCATAAACTATTCACTGAATTTGGAAAACATGCTCTGCTGGAGGAGAAGAGACGCAAAGAGGAGACCGCAAATGATACAAGACCGCCTGTGACTCCATCGTGTTAGTAGAGAGCTAAACATAACGTGAGGCGGGGGATGGGATGGGGTGAGACTAGTGAGATTACCTCATCTAGTGCAAATTGTGTTGTTATTATAACCCTTATAACCTGAGCTCTGTGCAAAAAAAATGGCAACAGACATTCTTTTCTTTTTTTTAAGAGACAACAACGGTCAGCTGATCGCACCGGTGTTTGACTTTTTCTCTACATTAAGATCTGCAAATTGATAAATCACCTCACAACACAGATTCAAATCTGCTCTGGGACTGAGGTGTTAAACTAGGCTGCGTTATCTTTACGCTTTATGAACGGTCTGTCTCCCTCTCTGCTCCCATAATAGATCAACATTAATAATTGATCCCACATTCATTATTCTCCATCACACTGTCGAGCCCGCAAACATTAATGTTTCCTAACCTCTAAATCTGACTCGACAACTATGTTGCGTCTTAAAACATTTCGTTGCAGACTGACAAAGGACGTGGATGACAAAGCACTTGTGCATGCTTTTGAATTCCCAAATTCCTGTCTATACTATGACTTACATGTTGCTGCAGGCAGAATATTTCCCTCCATTCCGGGAGCGATAGCCTCGCTTTCTGTTCTTTTGTTCATTCAAACATGCGAGTTTCGGCTCTTCCTCTCCAGCAGTCCTCTCATTCCTCAGGCAGGGATTCGGAGGTGGGGTGGGGTGAGGGGGGAGTTGGTCGAGTCACTCCAGTTGCATGAACTGGAAAAGGAAATCCTCCGGAGAGCGTCCAGATAGGTCAGAAATAAAAAATAAATAAACAAACGAAACCCTCGCCTGTACAGCCAGCTGCTGTTCACCGGTCACTGCGTCTCTGAAAAGTTAGATGACAAGGTGTCCGAGGGAATATGAGAAGAAAGAGAGGCAACAAGGAGGAGGGAGAGAAGTTTCTCACTCCACGACACGCCACAGCTGATGCTCTGCTGGTGCGAACGATCCCTCACTGGCCTCCGGATCGGACTGTACCACTATCAACAAGGGGGACACTCTGGTATTATTTGTTAAGTTATCCTTAACGATACAGAAGACACGAATAATTACTGATACATTCGAATGTGCTTAGCGCAAGATTAGCACAGATTTCACTGACATCCCTGTATCTGTTTTCATGTTAAAAATATTTTTTCCCTAACCTCCCCCCGACGTTCTGATTGGTTCTCTCACCCACAAAAACTACAAGACTCTCAGCCGGTTCACAGTTCACATTCAAATAAACCTTTGACTTGTAAAGCGTACCTGTGTGCCTGGATGATATAGTTTAGTCTCTAGCTTGTCTAATTCATGAGTTGGTTAAAGCATTTTCCCCACATAAAAATGTACCTACATACTGAAACCCCACATAGGCGTGATCAGTACAACAGGTTTTCACGTGCTGCTGGGTAAATGCTAGTATATCATTTTTAACCTGCAGAATTCAAATGCCTTTCCGGGATTATAATCCAGCATGCGGCTTTACAGGTTTATCTAGGAATCAGAATAAAAGGAAAGGTGGCTTTTGTGTACTTTTAACCCCAGTTAAGTGCAGAAGGAAAACACCCCAAAGAAAAAAAGCTGAGTAGTCCACGTGATGATTATGGCAGCCTCCCAAATACTTCTTCTCTTCCTATAATCTTTAGAGACACGTTAAAGAAGATTCATCTGAGATTTCAGAGTCTAAACGAAACCAGACATTCCCAAGCACACACTACAGCAGTGAAACAATAGTAGAAGATGAATTTCCATAAGACAGCTCAGTCAAAATACATACATAAGGTTTTATTTTGGAATCTACTTCAGCCTACTGCATTGAGATAATAAAATTGTGCAGACTTTGTGTGCAGCTTGTGTTTTTTAATTGTGGCAAAAACAAGTCCCTAAAAATGGATCTTGATTACACAGCATTTCTAAGAACTCCACTGTGTCTTCTCATCTACCACCTGTGGATCTCCTACAGCATCTGCCAAGGTGGGGGCTGGGCCAGGCGCCCATCGGCACGCTTGAGAGGGGACACCCTGTCAAAAGGACCCCATTGGGATTCTTTTGTGCAGCTGTTGAGTTGTATTCACCCAAACCCCCAAGAGCCACCTGTCACTGCAACTTGAAAGTGGGGGGTGCTCAAGAAAGTGGGGGTTGGGTATGCTGCTGGAGTGTGTTGGTTTTGCCAAATTGAAGCCAAAAAAGTGTGACCACGTGTGTCTTAAAGTCTCCATGTACTTGTAATCATATTATTCTTAATCATCCTTGATAAATTAATCATGACTTAAATAAGTGGATTTCTCCCAGTAACCCTAATGTCATTGAATTATGTTGATTCAAGAGCTATCTATAATTAAATCACAGATTAGCGTCTTTTTTTAATTTTAAGATAAAAGGAGCAGTTAAGAGTTCAGTTCTTATTTCCTTCAAGTCAAGAACACATGGAAAGCAAGCAGAAAACATATTTCTTTGCTTTTAATTAAAGATCAATGGCTCCATTAGTCAGCCAAAAGCTCAAGAATGCTCAAAAATGTCATGTTTGTTTACGGAAGATAGAAGCCATAAGTGTGTACCAGGAACCTTAGAAATGTGTAAGCCCTTATTAAACTCTTTCATGTCATAGGACAAGGAAGAATTCCCGTACTTAGTGTAAACATTAACATCCTTTAACTAAACATATATCTGAAGTCATGAACAATCTCTGATACTGACGTGCTCTCCACATTTTGTTTTGACTATGACATATTGACGCAAGGAGACTTAAAAAATGTAGATTTCCTGGGGAATAAAATATCTTAATCACTCATTTCATGCGAATGTCATTGAGGTCATTACCTGTTTTTGCAGGAAAGACATAAGAAATAAGAGTGTAATAATGTATTTTATATACAATCTATGCAATAAACAAAAATACTGAATGATATTTTTTTTACTTTTATACCGCAACAAAAACAAGGTACAGTAGAGCTAAACCCTACACACAACACACTGCACAAAAGACCTAGTATTGAAGGCAAGCAGTCTGATAGGGAAATTAAAGCATACCTCAGTATCAGGAGCCATGTGTCCATTTATCAAGCATTCTAAGTAATGAGCCATTCAAAGTGACATGGATGCAAATCAGAAACTAAAAAACATCACATTTGGCCACCGTTAAATTTGTATTACATGTGCTGAAATGTTGCACAAATTCAGGAGGTTCAGCAATTAATGGCTCTTAGATCCTTTATTCCGTTTCTGTTGTGAATTCGTACCACTGTTTCAGTAACCCGTGAAGCTGTATATAAGCTAAATGCATATCTCATTAAAACTAACCCTGATCACTGTAAGCAGTTTGTGCACTGAAAATAGGCAGAATATGAGATTAAAGGGCATAATTGCATTAGTAAACACACTCCAGAAAAGCAGAAGAACAAAAGCTCAAAGTAATTTAAAGATATGGTTGAGAGCCTTAACATTCAAGGAACAACAGGTAGTGCTGGAGAAAACAGGGCTGCTGAGGGGTTTCTGTGGAAACAGTAGTCTGCACTTAGATGTGCAGAATAACCCTAACCCTTTGTACCAGTTTGAATTTGGGTTGTTTGAACATGACCCAAAAGGACCCCTGCTCTTGAAAGGGACAAGGTTGTTCAAAAAGATGATCAAAAGACTAATGTAAACCCAAACTGTTCAGGCATGACCGCAACATCCTGGTGAAGCTGATCTCTAATGCTTGCTTTTTTTGTTCCTTTGTATAATGGCTATATCCCTCTCAGGCACGCTATACATGTGTGTGTGTATATATATATGTATATATATTTATATATATGCAAAGGTCTAGTAGTTCTTTGTAAAATAAGCATCCTAGCATTTTTATATTGAGATTGCTACACGTAGTTGACCAATAAATAGTAACCGTTTCTTACATAGAGTAAAAAGCAAGTAAAATATGAAAGTGAAAGAGATGCATGAGAACTGAATCATCTAAACAGCTGTCCATCAATCACCTTTGAAAATGGAAGAACTCCAATCTCATATTTTTGATTCTAAGAAATGGGGACTGACGCAAAGTCTAGAGGTCAGCTGCTATGAATGGCAAGGGCAACCCTCATCCTAGTAATGAAATAACAATAGCAGGAATGTTCAGAATGTCCCCAGAGAGCACTGACCCATCTCTATTTTAAGAAAAGGATGCATTTTAAGCAGCAAGGGCAGGTAGAATAAGGAAAGGGTAGATATGATTTATTAATGGAAAATGTTTGTTTGCAAGAACATATACTGTTTTTGCACAACACTGTAGCGATGTCACTAAAGCTGGAGTAGCTGTTTCAGGTTGCTTTCAGGTTTCAGAAAGCAAACCTGTTGCTTTACTGCACCATTGTCTAGACTCAACAGGGTGAAAGGGCGAAGGCACCTGCAGGGAGCCTGTAGGTTCAAATAATTTACGACTATGTTGTCTTTTGTTTCATGTAGTGTGATTTAATCATGTCCTACATTACATGTCACATTAAAAATGTGTGTGTGAGCCCTTGCAGAGTTACAGGGCGAGACAGAGTGTGGGAGAGTTGCTTCTGTCTTTGTGTGTGTCTCTGGGGCGCTGGGAGAAAGATCACTGTTTGGTCTGAATCATCTGAATGTAGTCTGCCTCATATTGTGGGCTGGAGTTTTAATTGCCTTGGGAGATCTTGATATATTATTAAGTTACATATCCAAGAATCTTGGAATATGTATGTTTAAGATACAGTGTGTGCAGACATCTATATTAAAATAAGATTAAAATAAACCTAATTTCAGGGTTTAAAACAAAAAAAATGTCCCAGTTGATAACATATAAACATTGTCCTTGGTTTGAGTCTAGGTTGCTAGTCAGGTGGAGGGCTAACACAGAGAAACAGACAACCAGACAACATGTAAGGAGAATAGTTAGTAAGTATTTAGACTAAAATTTGTAGACTGAAGGAAATTCCCAGGAATTCCCCGGGTCTAAGGAATTCATTGTTTCTAAGATCAGCCAATAAATGACAGAGTCAGTCTTTAGATCTTTTTACACGAGTCTGTTGTTAAGTCACATTACTTTCATCTGTTATATGACATATGAGAAAATCAGCAATGCTCACTACTCTTTGAACAGTATCTTCCTACCATCCCAACAACAGGTGGCATTACCAAGAGTTCATTTTGCCATCTTCCATGAGGAATGAGATTCCGCAGCAGTGTTTCTCAAACAGCAGAGCCTCGCAGACCATGACGTAATGGCCTAAAACATGCAATCAGTTAGAAACAGGGCCAAAACACGTGGAGTTGGCTCGTCTCTCCGCTCACCCCCGGGGCCCCTCTCTATTCTCCTTTTCCTCGCCTCTCTCTCCCTCACCCCACCGCCCTTCTGCTCCAGCGCACTCTCTGTTTATGAGTGCATGAATCGCTTCATTTCACTATACCCAACTCCCTGCCCACTACCAAACCCACAACTGCTTCAATAATAGAAGCCCCCCCACCCCAGCTTTCATTTCCATGACAACCCACCGAGGACAGGGAGAGAGAGGAAAATAACAGAGGCAGGAAAAAGAAAAACTTGAATTATAGGGGTGGGAGTGCCTTCCCTTGACCTCTAGTTCCATTTAAAGGGAGGGAGACCATCACTACAACAGCCTGAGTTTCAGTGAGGTTAAACTGACCAGCCAAGAGAACACCAGCAACATCACCGCAAAGTAATCAGGAAGTAAAGGAAATAAAGGAAGGGAAAGGAAAGCTAATTAACCTTTTTTTAATAACAGAATAAACAAAAGGGGAGAAAAGGTCAACAAAAGTATAGAACATTCTAAAATTATGCTGCACTGGCCAAAGCACATAATTAAAATCATTTTTATATTCATCACAGAATTATGTAGTAATTTTGAAGATACCTCTGATATATACTCATCAGCCACCACATTAGGCATGCCTGTTAACTTAAACTGAACACTGAAAGTTTCATTCTTTCCCACTGCATATTATACCCAATGATCACAATAATAAATGATATTAAGAGTCACATGAATGATTTGCCTTCACACTGACCCCCTCCCCAAACAACAGACACAAACAAAGAGTGATATGCTCTTCAGGTCAAGCTCCAACTGAGCTCTGTGACAAATACATTTACACACATGTTCTTACTCATGCTGATGCTCACCGGATTAGTTTTTTTTAATGCAAGTCTCTAGATTAGACAGGATTAATCTATATTGATGAGAGAACATTTCTGTCCAGCTGTAACTATCACAGCTGTCTGTCTTTTGTGTCCATGTTATGTCTTTTCTGTAAATACTATAATAGCTTTAAATGCCTTACAGGCTGGCCCCTGAAGCAACAACACTTTGTCTTCCAGTAAAATTGCTTCTAATATTATTTCCTCTTCCTGAGGTTCAAGAAAAAAAAAATCCAGAGAAATACAAATACTAATCAACAGTTGCAAGTTTACATGAAAAATATATATCTATGAATCACATTTACTCTATATAAACAAATTATCGACAATTATCAAACCTCCCTAGGATAATATGAAGTAAATCATGCTATTTTTGTGCAGGTAAAAAATACACAGTAAAGTGTCATCATGAGTGTAACAGAAATGCAAAGAATGTGCTCATAACCTGTCCATGTGATCACATTGCACACATCTACTGCTCTTTGAAGGGAACGTGTGTTGAGGAGACGTGATCCTTTCATGCATCTAGTACTGTATACATAAGTGTGCGCGCACCTGCAGGCATGTAAGCAGTTGAGTGCGCACTTTAAACAGACTTCAGGGAAAATAACAGTAGTCAGCTTGTTAGCGAGCTCTGTTGTTAATATGTCATAAAAAAAGTGATGAATTTTTAACTAACCTCCGCTTGAAGTGGTGCTACATTTAGAAACATTATTTATTCTTCAGTGCAAGCGCAAAATGTCTGACTCATGCTGTATTTTTAATCATATCTCACAAGAAATGGTCAAATTTAGCTCTTTACCACGCATGCATGCTGCTGTTCAGGACGGGGGGTGTGTGTGTGAGTGTGTGTGGGTGTGTGTGGGGGGGGGGTGTGTTACCTGTCCTTTGGGGGATGGCAAACAGGGTGAGCTCAGTAATCCCTGGAGCTTCTGGGCCTCCCAGTGTGTCGTCCTCAATCCCCCCCCCCCCAGAGCCTGCCAAAATCCCCCTAACAGTCCCTGTTATTTGCATATCAGTAGTTTAGCTCCACCTCCTGACAGAACAGAAATGAAGGGATTAAGAAAAGAGAAGAATGAACAGTGATAAGGCAGCACAAACATGATTCCTTTAGAAATGCAGGAAGCACAGACTAAAGGATATGCAGCAATTTATAAGACTCATTTGAGAAAAACAGAATTAGATTTATTTGCCAAATAGGGGTGTACAGATACAAGGAATTGAGCTTTATTCATTGCTCTTAATATACTTAACAGAATAGATAAACAGACAGTGCAGAAATAACAACACAAATAGTATATTTCAGATTTATATGACTGTCAGTGTGAATAATGAAAAACATAATGTAACCTCGACTTTACTCTCTCCACACACGGCGTACTGGCTGATTAAAGCCAACAGTTTGCATGCTATTAGCTGTACAATCCTAATGCTACTGTGATTTAAAGCTTATTCAAACAAGCGAGACTCAGGGGGATACATTCACATTACATCCAATTATGTGTATCAGGAAATGAATCTAATATGGCCCCTGCTGCCTGTGTTGTTTCTTTAAGGCAATGTGACTCACTGTTAAGAATTCATGTGAGTGTTAGTGTGCCAGACATAACAGCAACCACCTTGTCATTTTACCTAAAAGAAATACATTTGAACACTCAAATCTCAAAAACAGATTTATTTAAAAGTCGAGGTGAATACAGAAGTTATAAATACATATATTTTAAATATCAACTATAAAGAGAATCCTTCTTTGTGTATCTTGCATGCTTTGATAAACAAATAATAGGTAGCAAGGATCTGGAGATAGGAGATGGTCAAATCTGTTAAAACTGGTTGATAATACTCGAGCAGGGCGATTACTTTTCTCTGAGGCAGCATCCAAGGACACAAGAGAAAGATGCCTTACTTGATTTACTGATACACCTTCCGATTTGCTGAGCCCATTAAATTAGTCCAAAGGTAAATCAGAGCTTTTGATCTTTACTGCCAGACAGACGTAATCAGTATTTTGGCCAAGTCTGTGAAGAGCTTTTCAGACCTTATGACAACGAATAAATGAAGCATATCATAAATCTGTGAACACAGGAAAGGGAAATGCCAGTTTTGAATTATAGTACGAGTGATATATGAGCTACAGTGGATTTTAATTAGTATCTCGGTAGTGTTTAATATTGCAAGTATACCATAGAAAATTGTAATTATAGTTAGATGTTCTGATAGTGGATTCATCCATTCACATTTTTTGCATTTTCTTTTTATTCTTTATTAAGGGATTTTCTCTTAAACTCTATGCAGGAGGTATCCACAGATCTCCAGAGAGGACTGCCTTTCCATTCTGACTTTGCAGATTGTAGGTCAAATACCACATTTGTTGTGTATTGCATATTAATGTACATCACTCTGTGGAAAATGCTTTTATGTTTGCTATAGAGGGTTGGACTTAAAAGCAAATACTAGCTATTATTTGGCAACATGTATTTTTGCATATCATTCGAATAGTACTCACAATAGTGAGTACTATGGCTAGCAGGAGCCAGCCCAATGCTTCCACTGAAGTCACATCCCTACTGAAAGAGAATGGAGTTAACAAGCATATGACATTAAACTGCCTTTCTGTCACTCCTATTAAAATAAAGAACATCCTCAGAATCTCCTCATTCTTCTCTAAAGATTGTTTGCCTAACTTATTCTGAAATGTTACACTCCTGATCTTTTTCTTCATTTTTTAAGTCTCGTCATTTTACTCGAGCCCAGTTTCTCATGTCTAGACTTAAAATTTAACTCTTTTTCATAAACTGAAAAACTAAGTACTAGACAGCATGAAACCACCCAGAACAGCAAAAAGTCATACAATAGACCTTCTCAGACACATGCATCACACATATCGACCAACACACACAAAGTTCACGTCACTGTCTCTAAGGAGACGTCAACACAGTGAAAACAGATGAGGAAACGCGTGTGGAATTTAAAGACTGTTCACCACTACATCACTTCTTCCATGCTACATCACACCCTGAAAAAAACCTTCTCCCTGTTAGAAACAAAGGACTGTGTGGAGATAACAAGCCAGTCTGAATGACTGTTAAAAAATGCTTCCTGTTTATTATTTGAATTAATTTATAAGGGCTTATAGTACAAATAACATTTGTTTTCCAAACCAGGAATACAGGTTAGTCTTATACATAGTCTCTAATAACTTCAAATCCTGCTTAGCTTTCTGTGAAACAGGAAAACAGCGTCACTAGATGAAATATCTTCTGAAGATACAATTAAAGCTCTACCTTCTGACACCCAGATAAAATGTAAAAACATAATATAACAAAATAAAATTTTGACATGACTTAGCTTTTCAGTAAAAAGCTTCTGATGCTCCTTTATAGTACATTCACAGTTTAAAAATGTTTTCAAAATTTAATCTGCTTTACATCAGCAACCTGAAATGCCTCTGTTCCTCCAGACCACACACAGGGCCAGCCTGTCTATGAACCTGCCCTTTGATGTGTAACATCAGCAGCCATTAAAGAAGGGTGTCCTCGCTGTCCTCATTGTGCGTGCTGAGCTGGGTCTTCCGGTAAGCTGTTACAGCTGCCCAGATTCGACACAGCATGCCGCCTCTGCAACAGCAACAGTGGACTCACATTCATGTGCAATGTCACTTTGCTTAAACTTATGATGAAACTTAAAATAACGGTGTAGACTTCGTGCTTTGAGGGGGTGATGCGTGGAGGCAGCTCACCTTATTCCACAGTACATCAAGTCATCCTTGGCGGCCATACGGAGGAGACAGTCCAAGGTGAACTCATGAGCGAGCAACTGGAAAACAGGATCACAGAGGTGTGGATTAATACCAGGTGGATGAGTAACACGAAGTAGCCTTAGGGGTGTAATAAAAAAAAAAAAAAAAAAAAAGCCAAAGTTGAGCTTTTGCTGAATTTACCTTGTTGATAGTGTCTTGATCTACGGGGACAGTCTTTAGCCAGCGCGCTAAGGCTTTCTTCTCTGGTCTGGAGCTTTTCTGTGAAGCCAACTCCACATCTATAATGCACAGAGTTACAACCATTAGGTTTTCTCAGACACTCATAAACACATGGTGTATTTAATGGTGTTAATGTTACACACAACAAAAGCGTCTTCGGCAGCCAGCCCGTATAATCATTATACAAACTAACAAGTCAAGTTTGAGCACATTAGCAGCTGATCTGGCAGCCAACGCCTCTGACAGCAACTAGCCAGGCAGAAATCCGCCATCAGCCTGTAGCTAAGGTGTGGTAGGGATTGCTTGGCGCAGATGTTAAGAAATAGTAATTAGAATTACTGAGTGTACTGATAATCCAAAGAAGGCTTTGTCCCTTCCTATGATACTGCTCATGTCGCAGCTTGTGTTGATGTTTGTCTGATAAAAGGCGAGAGAATAACTTCAGTGCTCCTCAAATAACTATTAAACATCTTTGTTTACTGTCTCATATCTAGTAGAAAATTTTTTTTGCAAAACTTGAATTCATTTTCTAGGGTTAGAGGTTTGATTGTGGTGTACAAACAGAATATTCAAATATTCAAGAAAATTTCATCATCTAAAGGAATGGTTCAGATTCAAGTCTAATTTAGTTCAGGATATAGCAAATCAGGAGAATACACTTCAGTGATATAGCCTTTTGTAAATATTTCAAATCAGGAAAATAAAGCAGGCTGCCTTTATTTTGCACAACTCAGCTTGCAGAAAGACGCACGATCACAGACACAATTCAGTTCAGTTCAAGCTTCTTTATAAACCACAAATCCACAATAACAGTCACCTCAATTCCCTGTGTACTGTAAGGTAAAACCCATAGTATTGGCAAAAACCCCAACAATCAAGCAGTCCCTCATGAGTGGGCCCTTTACGACAGTGGGAAGGAAAAACTGCCTTTTAACAGGAAAAAACCTTCAGCAGAACCAGGCTCAGGGAGGGGCACCCATCTGCCATGACCAGCTGGAGGGTGAGGAGAAAGAGAAGGGAGCAGGGATAGACAGGAAAAAATACACATTATGAGAGAGAGATGACAAAAAAATGACATGCGGGAGAAGAGAGTGAAAAGAGGTGAGTGGGGAAAGAAGTGCTTACTGTAACACAGCAGTTACTGTGCTAGTATTGTAACAAGTTTTGGCATTAAAACAACATTACCCTCATTGACTGATTCTTTCCTCAGTGCGTCTATTTGCTGTTGTTTTCTCCAGAGAGAGTTCCTCAGTAGCTCCTGATACTCTGTCTCCTTCTCGCTTAGATGATTCAGCAGTCTGAAACACAACACAAATAGCCTTAACATGCAGCAGAAAGCCCTGCAACCCAAAATTAAATGAATCACTGTGTACACCTAATAGGAATGTTAGTCACAATTATTCTATTTTACAGGAAATATGAGGGGGATATGAAAAGAAAGCTGAGAAAACAAAAAATAAAAATTTATTTTATGTATGTATGTAGTTTGTTCAGAGAATCTAATAAACCTGTAGATTCTCTGAACGATAAAGGTGACAGGCGAAATAAACCTTCTGGTCTCCAGTCGCAGATCTCTCAGGTTCTCGCTGAGTGGCCAGTTGGTGTTAAGGTTGAAGTCTGCAGGTTTAGGGTTGGCTCTAGGCAGCACATCATTTGCTGGATCTGGCTGCTGTGTGTATGCTGGTGCCACCAGCTGGTCAGGGACTAGAGCTACAGGAGTGTCTGGATCGGCAAACAGCTCCTCAGAGGTGTTGTCCTCACTCTCGAATGAGGACTGCAGATGGAGTCTGAGTTCTGAAAGGCAAAGGGTAAATTAGTATCAGAAAAACAGATAAGTAAGAAATATAAATGAATAAATTAAAAAAAATCAACAGGCAAGAAAATAAATAAATTTAAATGTAAATGAAATAAAAATACAATGAAATACAATGTTCCTCTGGCAAACACTCTTACCACTATGTTGTTGTTTCTTTCTACTCAACAAAAAATGTTAAACAGATTATGGAATGAAGCACATGCCTACTTTACCTGGCAGTAATACAGTTATGGCATCCTGTACTGCCTGTCTCAGCAGATTGTCCAGAGCAAACATCCAATGAGGTTTAACCTTTTGTTGCTTCAACACTTTTTTCACCTATGGTCAGAAGGCTTTGTATGAATATAAGGAGGCTTATTCTCAATTGTGATGTAATTGCTAAATAAAAAAATCTTGAAAGTGAAGTGCAATCACCAGCAAAATCTGGCTTTGGGCTCCGAAGTAACTTACTGCATCTTGGAAGTTAAATAGCACCACCTGTAGGCTGTTCAGAGGTACTGAGGCAGCTACGAGCGTAGCTCGAAGCTCCAGCAAGCCGCTGGTAAGCTGCTTCCTGTCCGGGGAATGGATGTTGTCACGCAAACAAATAACGAGTTTGGTGATGTGGTCTGGAGTGATCGAGGAGCCATCACCATACTTTTAACAGAGAAAGGCAGACTTTAAAATCAGGATACATTCTGCAGTTCTCGTTTTCAAAGTATATAAACCCATCTACTTCATCTCTCTGTAGTTCTTTTCAGCTGGAGTGTAATGGTCTTTTTCACTGTGATCTGTTATTGATAACAATGTTCATATTAATGGTCATTTCTCCTTTAGTAATGACAAATTTCAGGATTATAAGAAAAAAAATGCTCTGCTCAAAACAAATTCTAACCTAAATGCATAAAACGAGATACACTAACATCTTTTATTAACTCTTATTGTAAAAGTATGGTTAAAAATTGTGATGCAAAGAAAAATCTGAAGGTTTTTATAGAGGAACAGTACATAACTGGAAAGAAGTAGATGGAAAGAAAGGAAAAAGAAACATAGAAACTTTATTTATCCTCAAGAAACATCTTATCAAACATAAGATAATAATATAAGAGCATTTAAGGACCAAAACCCTTATGAGGGAAACTCCCACAGGTTTTAGCTAAACAGGTAACCTTAGCTTGTACATTCTTTGGCTTTACATTCCTATTTCTCTAGTTTGCAATGTCGGTGGCGCAATACGTGTAAGGCAATATGTTAATAGTAGATTACAAAGGAATCGGTTCATTTGGTATGGCCTATACACTCACCAGGTACTTTACTAAATATGTTTGCTACTGCTCATTTACTCAACTATCTAATCAGCCAAACACATGTCACCAATTCAATGAACTAAGGCACACAGAAATAATCAAGATGACCTGCTGAAGTTCAAACCGTGCACCAGAATGGAGAAGAAAGGTGATTTCATTGACTTTGAATGTTTTTAAATGTTGTTGCCAGACACGCTGGTGTGAGTATTTCAGAAACTGCTGATCTACTGGGATCTACCATTACACTACCATTTCTAGGGTTTCCAGAGAATGGTCAGATAAAAAGAATATATGTGTAACACGAGACAGAAATTGGGCAGAAATTTTTTGGTGATGCCAGAAATTAGAGATTGACCAGATAGCCACAACAGCAAAAGACAGGTACCACTTCTGTCGGCTAAGAACAGGAAACTGAGGCTGCAGTTCACAGTAATTTTTCTGCTTTGATATTTGGATTTTAAGGTCAGAGTTTGATGGAAACAACATGAAAGAATGTGTCAGTGTCGGCCAGATATTAATCAAATAGAGCACCTTCGGAGGGGACTAGTATCACAGAGTCCCACAATCCCGTACTGTCAATGTGTACCTAATAGTTTAAACATGCAGATATTGATGAGCTTTCAAATACTCTATTATAAAGAGCTATTCATTATTAGAGAACTAAAATCCATCTCAGTCTCAGAATTGAAGAGCAATTCTATAACAGAATTTGACAGTGCGGTAACTTTTCTTTACCCACCTGAGGCACAGACTGTTGTATACTAGACACAACATGGCTTATGTAGTCAGTGAGAACTTTGTGCAGCGTGGCTCTCCTCTCACTGTCCTTTCTCAGCATAAAAAGGCCAGTACTCTCCTCTGTTGAGGATGGACTGCTCATGTCTGATGTGGAGTCATCTGGTATTCTGGAAAAATTGAATGCAAACAAACATAAATGGCACAGATAAGCCACGAACATGCTGCAATTGTCAGGGTCTGCGGAGGCAGACCGTGCGGAAACGTGTGTGGTGGACCCAGGTGCGAACACAGGCGAGGATGCAGGAGTGGATTTAAACAAAAGCGAGCCGTTTATTATGGCTGATGAAAAGGAACAGAACAGAGTGAAGGCAGCATAAGAGTAACCGTTCAAACGAAAACCTAAACTGGAAATAAACTAAGGAAAAGCTATGGCTTGGAATACGGAACACAGAGGTGGTAACACAGACGACGCGACACAGACTGTATGAAACACAGAGACTAAATACACATGAGGGATGATCAGGGGAAGTGGATGCACACGGGGAACACAGGTGACACTGATAATCATAACAAGACACGGCAGGAGTGAACGTAACACTGATGGGAGATGGGCAGAGTAAAACAGGAAGTACACAGAGGTTCAAACAGGAGGGGAGAGAGCACGGGGAGAACGCAGACATAACGGGCTGGGGAAAACATAGAATAAAACACAAAGAGAGACGAGGGCTCATAAATACACAGAGGGGCACACAGGGGGTGAGAGTCACGAAGGGAAAACACATAAGGAACAACGTAACAGATCAACCCAGGAAGCATGGCCTAAATAAAGAACAAAATACAAAAATACATGAAAACTAAGAATACTGGGCCCACATGGCCCAGGACCATGACAGCAATAACCATTGTATGATAGAAAAATGTAGATATGGCTATCAGTAACACATCAGATGTATTATTTAATAATGGCATGGGGAATTTTGCATTATAGCCTTTTTTCACAAGTTATAGGACTGTGAAGAACGAACCTCAGTGTGGTTTACCAGTAAAGTAAGATTCAATACAATCATAGTTTGCGCACAAATGAAAAGGTTTTGAGTTTCTTTTGAGGAATAATCTTACTCACAACAGGAAGCTGTTGGTGCTCGGTGGGCTCTCTGAGATTTCTTCTGCTCTGAGAGAGGACTGCGACCTCGTCAGGTCCAGAGAACAAGACAGGTCAATCAAGTCAGAGTAAGAATCAGTATCCTCCACAAGGATGGAGATAGGCACAGACATACTGCGCTGATAGTCAGCTGTAAGAAATAGGGTTTAGATACTCTGCATCATTGCTATAGAAAGCAAAAATGGGTAAGAGGTGAAATGTGTGTATTTTAAGTGTATTTCTCACTTATAGACAGGGATTCCTGAACAGCTTTAGCTTTTTTCTTCGTAGACGACTTTAGGAAATGGTCCTTAAGCAGTTCTGCTGCTGTGGCTCTTTCATCTGGATTTGGCACGAAACAGTTCATGATGAAACCCTTGGCCTCATCTGACATGCACTCTGGAACCTTGGGGTGGATCTTAAACATGCCAACCTAGTTGGGAATTTTTAAAGTTTCATTGAAACATTCTGCTTTGAGATTCTTGTGCTGTGCTAGCTCTTACGCTATGCTGATAGCTCTCTTTGTCTGGGTTCATATGTATTAGGAGGATGAGTTTTGAGAAAATTACACAATTTTTGTCATTCTGCTTCTGGACCATGTTATTGTGTGTCACTGACTGCAAATGATTTTCATCCAAGTGTTAAAAAGGAGTTTGTATACTTAAGTTATGTTATTTTGTGTAAGCACTTGGTCTGATAGTGGGGGGACTATATAAAAATGTGCACCACTGTCAGGCTGTACAGAGGCAAAATTACACAGAATTGTGTTGTGCAAATAATTATGCACTTAAAGTGTAACTGAATTTAAAACTTTGTATATCTAATCAATCTAATATCCACCTGGTACTTGTAAAAACTAAATAAACAGTGATCATGAAATGTAAAAGTCTTCAAAGGAAAAGTCTCCCGAATGTTCCATGAAATATAATTCCAGGCATTCCACAATGCTGCAATCTGCCAAATTTCCTTATGTGTAAAGTCCACTGTGAGCATTTTTAACTTGCGTAGAAAACACAACTCCTTTTTTTTTACCTTGAACATGGCTGCCTGGGGACTTCCCAGCTCATGAAAGGGTGTTTTGCCTGTTGCCATTTCTATGATAGTGCACCCTAGAGACCAGATATCTGCTGGCTTCCCATAACCCCGAAGTCCTTGGTCTATAATCTCAGGGGCCATGTACTGCAGAGTTCCTATTGAAAATCCACCAGAAAAGTGAAAGTTCGACTACTGTGAGGAGTTCACGTGTAAAAATGTTTTAATAATAACAATCTTTTAATAATGTCATAACTGTCAACTTACCAGTAAATGTTTCAGTACAGGGGTTAATCCCTGCTAACCGTTTGGAGGTTCCAAAATCAGATATCTTCAAAACTCCACTATAAGTGTTGATCAGTACATTGTCACCCTGCATAAGGAACAAAACCAGTGAATACCACAAAGCTAAACTTTAAGACACAGTAGACCAGAAAACTATTTGCCACGAAGCCAAAGGTGATCTGCTCACCTTGATGTCTCTGTGGACTATCTGATTCTCATGAAGGTACTTTAGACCCTCAAGTATCTGCTTGGTGTAGAAAATGATGGTGGGCTCGTTGTCTTTCAGAGGACCCCATTTCGAGCGCAAAAGAGAAGACAAGCTACCTGTAAGAGGAAATGCATAATTTCACAAGGTGACCCACGCCACTGATTTCGAGCCACGTCCCACACGGTCACCCGCTCACGCACTGAACTAAACCAGCGCCTGACAAGGTTATTAGTTTTAAAAAAGATGCAATAAAGATGCACAACTAAAATAACTGTTTCTCCATTACATTTGGCACAATCAAACAAAGTAATGGATTAGGACTGTGCACGTTTCTAATCAGAGGTTCAAGATGTTTTTCACACAATCACACCATTTTCTGTAAACATTTTCCTCCACTGAACAGGATGTCTTCAGAACCACCCACTTCTTTAAAACTGGCTTCCAGTAGATGTTACATAATCACACATGCATTACAATTCTGGTCACATGATTTCCCTGAAGCCCACGACAAATAGCACACAGAAAGCAAGGAAACAGACTTATTGGGAACATCAAGGCTTGTGTGTGTTTAAGAATTTCTCAGGAACCTGTGCTTGACGCCATGTCTCTGATTTCCCAAACCACATCGCTCCACCCCGTGACCTAATTTCATTACGTCAGAGGATAATTAGCTTTCTTGGCTGCTGCCTCAAAGCACATTGTGCGCTGTCTATCTTGCGTGCTGCACAATATCGTTTATTATTTAGTATCTACTGATATCTACTGCTAGCTAGTTTATTGTGATGGTGCCATTTTTTTATTATGTTGCTCTTTGTTGTTTGCTTTCTCTTCTGTTTTTTTTTCTCCATACAGGTGACCCAGGTGTTTTTTTTTTTTTTTTGTTTGTTTGTTTTTTTCTTTCTTCTCCCCCTTCTCACAGTCTCTTCTCCCCTTTGGTTTTCTTTCTCTCCCCCTCTTTCTTTCATTCTTTCTCCCTGTCCTATCCCCCAGTCATGTCTGTCCCGTTTGTAGCAACTGAAAATAAAATAAATTCATAATTATAATAAAGGTCAATCAAATGGACCAATATGGCAAGGCCATGATGATCCACTTGGTAAAATAAATCCGCTTGGCATCTTTCTTGGCCTTAAGACAACAATTCTGATGGCTAAAGATCCAAACAGGACAAAAAAAAAAAAGAAAAAAAAAAAGAGGATAATTATTTGCTTGTTGATTACATATGAGCAAACTGATTAATTACACATTTACATTTGTGATAACAGCTCTTTCCACAAACAGATGTGAAATTTTAAAAAAATCAAACAAAAACTTTTTTGAAGCTTTGATTTATATTACAGTAACGATTTAGTAATGACAGGCACTCTTATTGCTAGGAGTGTTAGAAGATCAAATGTCATCTTTTTACCCCCAGGTACTTCTTCCATGAAGATCTTGATGAAACCATCCTGACTGACAGAGCCCAGGTACTGGACAATATTCCTGTGTTTAAGCCTCTTGTGCAGAGCAATCTCCTCATGCAGGGGCTGAGAATACCTAATCAACACAAAAGAATAACGGTGCTGCTGTGAGATTGTTGTGTTTGTACAAGTGATTTGCATTGTCTAATTTAGGCCTCTTTTCATTTCCATCATTAAAAAGGAGTTATAAACAATATACCACAACTAGGTTTGGATTTTGGATGTATAAACAAACTATTTAAAGGGACTTAATCGCTTAAACCTTTGCCTTAAAAGTTTGCAAAAGCAATAAATATTTTGCTACATATAGAAGGTTTTTTTCCACGTCTGTCTAGAGTCGACAGTGTATTTTTCTTTTCATGTGGTTAACACTACCTAAACGCTATCATATTATTACTGTAACTGAGCAGATTTTGTTGACTACAGCGTAATCTGAAAGTGTCAACATCAGAAGGGTAACATATGTGTTTTCTTACGTGCTGTCCTTCTCGGGGATCTCTTTGATGGCGATGCGTACTTGGTTGCTCAGGTCCCTTCCAGCATACACTACACCATAAGTTCCTTTACCAAGTATTACCTTGTCACCATTCTCATTGGTCTCATAGATATACTGTAGAATGAGAATCAGTAAGAATCAGTATAGAGTGAATGGAAACAGAATTTTAGGAACTTAAGGAGACCTTCATTCAGAGGTTTAAATAAGGCAAAATGCGACATCTGCTAAAGGTTTTACTATACTCATGAACTCACAAATACCTGATCAATATTTAATGCAAATATGTCATCTGTCAATAACATGGCAGCAGCTCATTGCATTTTATTACGCAAGCATGGTGAAAACGACATGATGTAGTAGGAAATGAACACCAGAATGTGGAGAAATTTAAGTGACTTTAAAAAGAGCATGGGCGTTGGTGCCAGAAAGGCTGGTCTGAGTTTTCCACAAACTGGTGACGCACTAAGATTTTCCTCTTTAAGGCTTACAAAGAAGGATCTGAAAAAAGAAAATATCCAGTGAGTGTCTGTTCTCTGGATAAAACGCCTTGTTGATGCCAGAGTTCAGCAGAGAATGGCGGGATTTGCAGAGATGGAAATGACTACCTGCTGAAATTCAAACCAAGCATCAGACTGGGGAATATATGTCATATAAGTGATTTTGAAGTCAGTATGATTCATATTTAGACCAGCCTTGTCTGAGTATTTCAGAAACTGCTGATCTATGGGGATTTTCCTGAACAACCATGTCTAGTTTGCACAAAATGGTCCAAAAAAGAGAAAATATTGAGTGAGCAGTAGTTCTCTGGACAGAAATGGCTTGTTAACGCCAGTTGTCAGAGGAGACTGTCCACACTGTTCTGAGCTGATACTAAGGCAACAGTAACTCAAATAAAAACTCACTAAAACAGGAAACTAAGAACCGGAAACTTAGACTACACTTTGCATGGGGTCCCCACCTTAAATGAATCAAAACAGCATTTTGAGCATTTCTTCCCACCAATGTTTTTCTAGTTTACCCAGTTACTCTCTCACTAGTACTACTTACTACAAGAAACATATGAGTTTCTTTTGAATGCAAAAGGCAAGGATGCATCTTGCCTTGCACCAGTGATTCAAGCTGGTGGAAGTGATTTAATTTTTTTTTTTAACATATCTCAATGCACTAGAGCACCTTTGGGATGTGGTGAAATAGGATGTTTGCATTGTGGATTAGCCATGTGACACTATCATGTCAATATGGAGCAAAATATCAAATATATTTGCTTTGTCATGTAGAGTTAAGGCAGTTCTGACAGACATAGATTTGATATATTCTTTATAAATAACACTGGCTTTTCAAATTTTAACTTTAAACATGGTTTTATGAGAGTGAAACACACGTTAAAACCACGTCTGCAAGAGTAGCTCAGTTCTAACTAAAATAGCATTCACTTTTTTTAGCACAGACCTAAAATAGAACACATATTGCATCCGGATATAGAAGGAACTGTAACTGACCTCTAGTATTTCTCCGAGTGTATGTTCTATATCTTGAACATGGTTTTCAGCCTCCTGGAGAAGGGAGTTTACCAACTCACAGAAACTAGGTAGAGAAGAGACATACATAAAAATATTTCTCACTGCAGCATAAATTTAAATATACTTTCAGTAAACATCAGCTCAAGTGAAGAGGTCCCTGTAGATTTCTGCTGAGGGATTTACTTATAAACAGATTGATAGGTTTTTGGCTGTTAGCCACACTGGTTCACACACACCAAAATACACAACTGCAAGTAGCTACAATAAAATTCATATTTATTTTCAATGGCTGATCAAATTTGAATAGATGTGAATGAGAAGCCTGATATTGTCTCTGGTAATTAAAAAAAACAAGTGATAGAAAAGGTTGATGTGAGACTGAAATTAGAAAATGTGGATATTTTGCTTACAAGTAATCCCTCATTAGTTCTATTTATCACAGTTTGTTTCATTTTAACTTAATTTGTTTAAAAGAAAACATACCAGTGAAAACAGGAAAAGCAGGATGTTATATTTGGCAGTGTGTTAATAGGAAAAAAACAAACAAACTCTATTATATGCAGCTGTGGTCAGAAATTCATTTACACTCATAATGGGCATGGATGTTTGATCATATTGGGCTTTTATCGATTTCATTAAACTATTCTGTTTTCCAGGGTGGAATGATTGCACAGCATGCATAACTTTAAAAAGCAATAAGTGGGTGCAGAAGTTTTGAATTCATTTGGGATTTTTTCTCATCCAAACAGAGTGAAAATTAAACATACAGGCTACACATACTGTACACCCCCCACTGATATTTGGTTTACCAGACACTTTTGGCACAAGCTTCTGGCATAATTCTGGCTGGATATATGACCACTCTTCCTGGCAGGAGTGCTAGAGTTCATTTGAATTGGTTGGTTTCCTGGTATGAACCTGGCTTTTAAGCCATAACTTTTCATTACGGTTAAAGTCAGTACTTTGGGAAGGCCATTCAAAAGTTTTGTCAGCCTGCTTTATCCCTTCTAAAACCAGCTTTGTGTGTTTGGGATAATTGTCTTGCTGGGACACCCAAATATGGTGAAGTTAAAGAAGGATTCCATCCACTTTTTTCAATGTACTGGTACCACTGGTAGCAAAACAGCCTTAGAGCATGATGCTACCACTACCGTGACACTGTACCACGAGAGCTGGTACAGTGTCCCTCTCCTATACTCCTACAAACATACCTCTTGTCATTGTGGCCATCTAAGTGTAAAAATCCTTCTGCAGAAGGCATTTGGCTTGTCCATGTTTGCAGCTGCAAATTTCAGCAAATCTTGAAGGTATTTAGTCTGGGGAAGGGACTTTTTCTTGGTTGGAACCCACTGAGTTCATGGTGATGTAAAACTCCATTTATTTTGGAAAGTGTTTAGTAGTTCCTTAGCTGTTCCTAAACAGCCTAAATAATTTCCTCTCATTTGAGGGTGACAGCTTGAGTCTTCTTCGGGACCATCTAAATAAGCCTATGCAAATAAGCTTTACTTAGATACAATTGTCTGAATCTGCAGTTTTTTTGAAATGGCTCCAGAAGACCTCCTCAAATAGGTTAAATCTAAAACTCTCCTTATTAGGTCGTCACTGAGCTTCTAAGATTTTCCTGTTGTTCTGAGTATTGGTCAATCCAGTGAATGCTGTCAAATAAATTCTTACTACCAAAGAGAAACTACTAGTTATAGTCAATCATGATCACTGACAAGAAGTTAAGACCTTGTTCTTGTCAATTTAAAAGACCTTCGGCACAACGTGATAAAAGATTTAAGTGCGTGAATGTGTATATGAGCCTATATGTATATTTCCCACCTTGTGTGAATTACAGAATATCTAACATAAATTCAAATTTCTTCATTCAATTTGTGATTTTTAAAAGTCATTAGAGATGCATGTTCTACAGTCATTCCACCCTTGGAAAAAGAACGGGAGAAAGAAACCATTAAAAACTCTAAATTAACTTGACATTCATGCCAGTCATGAGTGAATATAAGCTTCTGTCAAAAACTATAAAAATATGGCAGCAAACAGAAAACTGAAACTTGTGTGGTAGTGCAGTACTAGATGTTACTTCAGCTGGGATGGGTTTTTTTTTTCTAAATTATGTCAAGAGGTTTCTGAAAAGCAAGTAAGGACAGTACAGGAAATATGACTCATACCAAGTAATAACATCCAGTCATTGACTACTTTCATTTGCATGCCGACTGTTTTTCTGCACCCTGTACACGCAACCTGTTAGATCTTATCTAGCAAATCAGTTGATCTGCGAGGATGTCATTCACATGATCTCACACAAGTGTTAATCACTCACCCCTTACAGTGAATCTCAGATGGGAAGCAGAGCTGGAAATCATCCGAGTTGTAGTGGACATACAGAAAGCAGCTCCGCTCATCAATCTTTGAAGCACTGCAATGAGAAAGACGTAAACAGGTTTTAATCATTCAAACAGGCAAACCTTTATGTTTGAATATGTTGAACATAAAACTGGCACAGACGACATCATGGCTGTATCTCTTAATCCTTATTTGTTCTATTGAAGGAGATAGCTATTGTTTCTAATTCAGTGGGAGCTATAGGTAAATAAAAGTAAATCAAATGTATTAAGTATTAGTGATAAAGAGCAAGGCCCCACTAGGCTCTAATAGAAAATGTGTTTTTCATCATCCCCCCTATGATACCACAGCCTGATAAAACGATTTATTGTTAAGTCACCCAGCAGATGACTTTTTCTGGAATATTTGTCTGGTAGACGGGACACAGCTGAAGTACACAGTAACACTGACCTGCAGACACAGAGGAATCAACAAAAAGGTCACATGCTCTGCTCTATTTTACCTCACTCCCCGAATTTCAGATGCTTGGAAAGTCCACTGGTTTAAGCCCTTCTGCAGAATTAAATACAAATTTAGACACAGGTTAAAAGAGTGTTTTACAGCTAATACAGAGTTTGTCACACACAGTAAACCATTTTTACATACGAATAAATACATATGCAAGAATAAAAGGAACAAATATTGATGTTTTAAATGCACAGTGGCTCTAAAAGAACATGCCTACTCACCCAGCCGACTGTACACTCAGACAGAAAACTTGTTTATTACATAATATGATATACATTCATACACACGTATGTATGACTTGTTCAAAGAGTCAAATGTATTCCAATCAGAGTGTGGCTCAAAGAGTGGGGGCCCAGACAGTTTACATACCTTTAAGCGTGTGGCGTGTTTTAGCTGGACAGTGCGACTTTGGTCCTCCTCGTTCACAGACACAATAGCTGGTTGGAAGAGTTTAGTGGGCTCCAGAATGAGCACCTGAAAAACACCAGTTCCAGTACTATCTATTTTAAATATCTACGTGGCTGTTTAATGCATTTCTAATGGCAGGGAATCTCCTGCTTTGTTACATGTTAACTTTACAATCCAAATGAGCAGAACTGAATCCTGATCAATAGTTACTCCGTGAGAAGATGAGTGTCCTGTTTATTATTTACAGCTACAGTAAGGTGTTTGGTCTTACTGGACAACAGTTTGATGAGGCAGTGGGTTTACAGGTCTGCAAAAGCAGCTCCATCCAGAAGTCCACTGTATCTTGTTTAGGAGATCTCACTTCAGGTAACTTGGCAAACCGGCGGTACAGGATGTATGTCTCCATAATAGATGCCACATACCTAACAGAAATTGAACTCGGCAGTTATTTGTTATTTGCTTTTCACACTTTTAATAAAAACAATCATATAACTGATTAAACACCTTGATACTGCTCATCAACAATGGATGATTAAGTCTCACCAAACAGGGGCCTTGAGTCTGTAGAGCTTCTCAGAGGCCTCAATGACTTTCCTGTATTCACCTGCAAGAATGTTTGCTCCAAGGTAGAAACCTACATCCCAGTAGTCCTTCATCTTCTCCAGACTACCCTTTCTACCCAGCAGGGTGCTTAAAGTCACACCTAGACATTGACATCATAAAACAAAACAAAAGAGGTTACTAACAAATCAACAGAGGACGACCCTGACCACAGTTACAATCTCATTTATGGACTAAGAACAAAATAAATAATTGAATACAATGTAATATGCCTTTATAATACTATGCACTGTCAAAACATGATTGGCCAACAACTGAAAACAACATGATATGATGTGTACAGCATAATGAAATGCATTTTCTCACAAATGGGTGAGAAATTACGGGAAAAAACAACTTAATTTTTACTCCCTGCAGTGATAGGATCTGGTGGCTCTGTGAGCTGTGGCATTTTACTGGGACAGTTTGGGGTATATTTGACAAGTTGGAGACAAGAATAAAAGCAAACATTTCTATCCTCTCTTCCAGGATGACAATCTCCCCATTCATAAAGGTGCAGTGTTCACTGACTGGGATTAATGAGTATTACAATTACGTGACTCATATCCTGTAGCTCAGTTGAACATTTATCGCACTAATGACATGGTCTACTTTTCAAAGTTTTTGTAACAGGAAATACGTTTTAAAACACAACTAATAACTGTTTAGTATTAATCTAATTTTGACTGAGCTTATGATGAATCCTAATAATATATTTTCTGGCACTGCACATCATCTCAGACATTTAAAACATCAAAAAAATGAATTTCAAGGATCAAATTCAATGCATGACACAATAAATGGTAAATGGCCTGTATTTATATAGCGCTTTACTAGTCCCTAAGGACCCCAAAGCGCTTTACATATCCAGTCATCCACCCATTCACACACACATTCACACACTGGTGATGGCAAGCTACATTGTAGCCACAGCCACCCTGGGGCGCACTGACAGAGGCGAGGCTGCCGGACACTGGCGCCACCAGGCCCTCTGACCACCACCAGTAGGCAACGGGTGAAGTGTCTTGCCCAAGGACACAACGACCGAGACTGTCCAAGCCGGGGCTCGAACCGGCAACCTTCCGATTACAAGGCGAACTCCCAACTCTTGAGCCACGATCGCCCCAATAAATCCACAGACATTAAGTTTTCTCTGATGGAAAGGTAAAAAACAGAAAGCACCTAGTTTGCGCAACTCTATAGACGTCTCAAATTCATGGCCAGCTGCTATTAGGAGGACCACATTGTTGATGCCTGAGTGAAGAGTTGGCTCTGTCTCAAAGGCTTTCCCATACCTGGCAAGTTATATAAAAGAAACAGTCTGGAAAACATGACATAAATGCCACTTTTCTCAAATGTGGAAAACTTTGCATGGCCAAACTTGGCGTACCAATAGCAGGCCTGGTCTCTGCTGGACTCATCAGTGAACGCTGAGCTCATGAACATGTCCTTGTAGATGCGTCCACACAGGCAGTAGACGTCTGATGCCACCTTGTTCCCTGACTCCACAATTGGCAGAATTTCTTTCAAAGCCTTTTCACGATCTCCGGACTGATTCCTCCTAGGATGGGTATATGTCATAACAGACCACTGTGATGATAAAAAACTTCATATCTTGGGTGAATATGAATTTACTAAAAGATCTCTGCAAACTGACAATGACACAAAAGCACCTAGCGTGAACCAAAGATGTCAACAGAACTATACTGACAAGCTCAAGATACAATAGCAGTCAAGTTGGTACCTGTTTAGAGCAAATATATAGTGAAACTTGATATTCTGATGCTTCGCCACCTGACACATAGGCAGGTTGTCCAGAGTCTCCACCAGTTTTATCATGGCATCGTAATCCTGAGAAAAAGTGGAAGAGAGTGAAATATAATGATTATCATGCTTGAATCACACCTGACAATTTTAATAATTTACATTGAAGTTTATTATATAAAAAATATTACTATTTACAAACAATTGTGAATAATTTCACCCCCCATAGCTATTTTTGTTAATGCTCATATGTTCACTAAACACACAATCTGATCTTCTTTGTTGATACAAATACTTGTGAAGGCTCCCAGATTGAACAGTAGCTCTTTTATAATGAAATATGGCTAAACAGATATGCAATCATATGATCATAATAATGTTAAAACTGTTTGAGTTCTGACAACAATACGCTGTTTTGTTTAATTCAATAACATAAAATAATGTGTTAATAAATAATCACTAGTTTAGACACACAGATTTAGAAATGCATACCTGAACGTCCCTGTAGGACAACAATAGGTTCATTACAATATCTGGAGAAAGCAGATCTACACTATCCAGGCGTTGCTGGATGTGGTTTAACTCCTCGCTCAAGGCTCTGCCGCTGAACCGCTCCCGTGCCATGCGAATCTCATGCCTAATTGACTCCCGGAAGTACTCACTGTCAGCAGATAGTCCGGTGTTGGTATTACATTCCACAATTTCACAATCCTTTGTAAACACGCTAAGTGACATTGCATACGTGGGAAGCTCAAGAACATGCATTCACTGTATAATAATGTTTAAATAAGTAATAATGTTTAACCACACCCTGCTAAAGTTTATGTCTGACCTGGACTGAATGTGCACATTGTTCAGCAGGTGCACCAGTTTCTCAACCAGGGGGATGAGCAGCGGCTCCAGCTGGAAACTAGGTTGCATCAGGTCTTTGATACAAGTCATCATGGCAACGTCACAGGCAAACACTTTGCCCTGAGGTGACACTACATATGGGATGAAGGTGTCACTTCCACACTGCTCCTGCAGGACAACAATAGATGCATCAAATATCATGCTGGGACAGCTTGCATGACCACAATGGAACCGCAGCATCATTTGACACTAGACAAAGCAGTCACAAGTGTGTTGCACAAATGACTTCAAGGCTAAAGCTTTGTTATGAATGCACTGAAATTATTTTAACAAGGTAATATGTACACTTATTCAATAATGAAAACATGAATTAATGGCAGCCATAGCTTGCTTTACATTGCATAACAATTGCTATAGCTTTTTAATTTTGGCTCCATCTCTCTCACTCACATTAAGTACAATGCACAAATTAAAGTTTTAACCCTAACTGGTGTTTTGCTGTTAAATAAGCTCCATCTCTAAATCAAATGTAGATACAACAATATTTTAGCCCTTCAGGAAAATATCCCACCGTAGTTGCAGTAATAAAGCAAAGCCTATTGAACTATTTTCCATTTCCAGCACATGAGACTGTATACAATAAACAATATGTAACAATAAATGGGAGCATGTGTTACCTTATGAGCTTGCAGATCACTATCTTGCTTAGAACAATACAGAATGATGTTATTAGTCATGCTGAAACTTTCCCTCACTCCAAGATGGTAGAAAAGGGAAGGCTGGCAAAAGGAGTCGCTCATTTCCACCACTGCAACATCTGTAAGGGGGGATTATAAAAGTAAACTTGCGTAATTTGGTATAATTCTGTGCTCATATATCCGCTACATTACCCTACAGTCTGCATGCCGTCACTTGCCTGCATTGTAGAAACTATCCAGAATGTCTGTCGTGCCTTGGGAAATTCTGTCAAATGAAATCGTTTTGAGAAGAGCGTGTGCGTCCGCGCAGGCTTCCTTCAGACACTTTAGTGATAAGTTTTCTTCGGTGTGCGGCACTGACGCGTCCTCGTTGACAATGTATGCCACTGACACTGCTCTGGTTCGACTCCGCGGAGAAACGATCTGTTTACCCGAGCCGTTGCTGGCGCTCAGCTCTAACGCCAAAGAGTCCTGCCACAAACTTCCAGCGGACACCCGTACTGGATCCTTCCTCTTTGAGTCTCGCAGGCTCATTCGCCTGCGCTCTGTCGTGTACATTATTTACTTCGCGTTTGTTCCGCAGCTAAAGCTCAAAGCGTGCCCTTTAGTAGGGACGACTTCCAATAGCAACATAACAGCGCCGCTGATCAAGGTAGATCCGATCTCTTACCACATACATTCCCAGAGCTCGTCTCCATTTGACCCGCCCACGTCGGCTCTGCCCTGCTCCGCCCGCTGGTGTTATGAGGATAGTCACCTATACTCTCGCATGACCTCTGCAGTAGGACCCAGCAAGTCCTTCTTGTCCTCTATGAGGAGCACGAGTCTGAGACGTCTAAGTAAAACAAAATTCTCGCAGTCCCAATGTAGTGTCAACAGAGCACCCTTGGCGCTCCGGTGATGGCGCAGTTGTGGGTGTTTGACCAACAGACCACATGGACTTACTTTTCAGATGACGGAGTGTGCAGCTTTCAATTTGTATGGCGCACGTGAGTTTAGGTGGTATTTTTTATTATACAGATATTATGTATTATTAGCACAAAAAAGCACAGAACATAACAAAGGGATTCATGAGATTCTTTTATTTATTTTAGAAGGATTTCTGAAATCTACAGTCATTTTGGTAGCACTTTATAATACGGCACACTACCAAGGGCGTAATTTCCCCGTGATTAAATGGAATTTCAGCGTGTTTTATTTGAAATTAGAAAGTAATTATAAATAAATATTTAAAGATAGGTATAGCAGAATAAGGGAGCAACGAGTAATTTTTCCAGGAAACAAGGAAAAAAATATACTGTAATCTATGTAGTGCACAAGCACAAGCAGTACAGTGTAATTTCCTGGTTATTTAGCGGAAAAATAAACAACATTTCGACATCTTACATTGTAAGTACGCTGTACTTTTTAAAAAATGAATAGAATTGAATAGAACTCAACTTTATTGTCATTGCACATGTCACAAGTATACTTGTGACCCCCCCCCCCAAACTCATGGATCGGCCTCCCCAGAGCCAGATCCTCAATGTTGTCAAACAAAAGGCAGGCAACATACAAAGAAAAACTTAGGGAAGTCTTTCAAGAAGCCTAGAAAACTGCTTAAAGAAGTGTCAAGAGATTTTGCTGTGCTGGGGAATAAAGGCGGTTCTATCAAGTATCGACTTTTAATAGTACAGAACTGTACAAACTATTTTTGCCTTACTGTACTTTTTTTTGCATGTCTTTCAGTAAATTGTTGCACCCATTTTCCTAGCACAATATAAAGAAATGAAGGGATACTTCACATTTGGATTATTGCAATTCTCTTTTAATAGGGGTTGGACAGGGACAAGTTTATTTGTCTGATTTGTTGAGGCCTCGTGTCCCTATTCGTTTGCTTCGGTCAGCTGAGCAACTGTTGCTTTCAGTCCCAAAGTCACAGCTAAAGCTTAGAGGAGACCAAGCGTTCTCTGTTGCGGCTCCAATGCTTTGGAATAGCCTTCCTCTCCATATTAGAGAAGCTACATCAGTGCCAGTTTTTAAGTCCAGATTAAAAGCCTATTTTTATTCCCTGGCTTTTAAGTCTGTGGGTGACTGACATTTTTTTTAAATTAATTTTATTGCTATTTCTGGTTTTTGCTATTACTATATTTATATTGTACAACACTTTGGTCTACCAGGTGTGTTTTAAAAGTGCTATATAAATAAATGATGATGACTATTAGAGAGTACTGTAATTAAAAGGCTTAAATTATCATAAACAAATTGTATTACCCACTTGTTAAATAATTATGGTGCCTATTGTCCTCCTTAAAACGGGACATTTTATGAAACAAACGGACACCAGTTTGCTCCAATAAAACTCTTCAAAAATTTATTTACAGTACAAAAATGAAAATTTACTATGAACTTCTATGAATGGGCAAAAATAAGAATGGTGCATACAGATTCCAGTAGTGCGAGGGAACACAACAGCGTTAATAATTTTTCCTGCACTACAAGCAAAGACAAAAAAAGGAAAAGGAAATATCCTTACATCTTATACTGCAATGTTTACTCTGACAATAAAAATGCTTTTTAAACATGAATCTAGAGTTCACATTCCAATAATGTAATGTACACTGACACATATAGCATGGACATAGACAATTAGCTATGCTTTGCACTAAGTGCTGTGGTGCAAAAAAAATATAGAATATATAACTATAGATTGGTGAGATATCTTTATCTGTCACTGAGCACATCTTAATGTAATGCGAGCAATGTGAGATGTAAGATCCGTCACTTATCACATAGACATTATACAACCTGAGAAAAAGTCTTCTTTGAGACAGCTGTGGCAGGTTCAAGCAAGAGATCAGTAATTACACAATATACACCAACAAATCCTGTTCCATTACTTAAATCAGTTCCTGCATTTACCAGTTCAAACTTATTGCTCCATTCCCTGCAGAAACAGTTCTTTTTCTGTTGTTGTTTTTGATGATGATATTATCTAACCTGAATCAACTTCGGCAATCAAGTACTTTGGAACAATTTACTCATCAAGGCCCTCGTCTTCCTCTTCCTGCTTGGCGTCTACCTCGGTTGTGTCTGAGAACTCGTGAAGCAGCACGTATTCACGGCTGCTGAAGCCAAATTTTATGACATCTTTTTCTTTGAGTTCATAGTACCGCTGGGGCTCGATACGCTGGTTGTTCAGATAAGTGCCATTGCCAGAGCCAAGGTCAATAATGTAAGGCTTTACCCTCCGGCCCGTGGTGCCATCTGCCCGCGTAAACTCCACCAGTCTGTAGAAATGAAGACAGAATGGTGGACATGATCTATTTGCAAATGGGGATCACGACTAAAGAGTCATTCAACATATTGGACAACAACAATAGTAAGTAGTAATCACCACAGATCGAGCATGCTTTTCAAACAAAAAGAAAACTAGAGTAAAAAAATAAATAAAAATGTGCTGATGACTGTTCTTCCTACCTGTACTGGAATACTGCATGTTGCTTGGAGCAGGATGGGTGATCAATCGGGATATCAGCAATTCTTCTCTGTCGCCCCAACAAATAGGCACTCTGTCTGTGAATGTACATGACTGGAAGAGCCTCATCATTCTTGAAAGGGTACAGTCGCCATCGGCGCTTCGGAATCCGAGCCTCAGGCGGCTCGTTGTACTTGATCACCACTCCCCGAAATGTGTTTGTGTCTTCTGTGAGTGCCCCTGAAAGTTCAAAGTTTGGCTTCTCTTTCACAGCAGGAGCAGCGCTTGCCTCATCACCCTCTTCTTCTGACCTCCCCAAGTCTCGCTCTTGGTTTTCTTCACGTCGCTGGCGATTTTCCCTGCGTCTCTCATCTTGCTGCTGTCGTTCAGCTTGTTGAGAGGCAAGAGCATTTCGCTCCCTATGCCTCTCCCCACCGCGCTCTCTCTCCCGTGGCCTATCAGATTCCCACCTACTCCGTCTGTCCTCTGGTTGCTCATTTCTTCTTCTTCTCTCGTCGCCGCTAGCTCTATGCTCATCCCGTTCCTGTGACATATATTTACAGAATACTTACACAGTTACATTTTTGAGTAGTTAATTATGTTGTACTGCATTACCCTTCAGTATGGAATAGTGGGCTCTAGTTTGTTTGACATATATTGTCATTACTGCCAGATGCCTCTGAAAAACATTAAAAATGGGACAACTGTTGACCAATGTTGGGTCTCTACACAGAAAACAGACTGCCTCAGACTGTTAGTACTATCTGACTAGCACTTGGGTTACACAAGCTTCTGTGTGGTAAATTCCAGATGAGTACTTTATACCACCTAGATCACTTTATACTCCAGTGGTGCTGCTGAATTGCAAAATGTTTCCCAATAATTTGAAACTAATCACCCGCTTTACTCTGACATCCCCGTGGTGAGGACTACGGCTTCTCCTTTTTCTCGGAGATCTGCTGCTTCTTCTGGCGGGAGAGGTTCCCCTTCTACCTGGTGAACGGTCCCTCGTCCTTGCAGGTGACCTAAATGAAGAACACAAGAGAGTATTAAGCGACCGTTCACACGACATTTCCCACCGTTGAGATGCAACTAGTGGCTGTAGCTAGCCCAAGTAAGTACTACAGCGATATACTCAAAAAAACCGACTCTGTCACGGTTGTCAAGTTGATCAATATGACACATGTGGCAAAATTAAGGTGGTATGATAACTTTAGTGCACACACCGACTCGTTCCTCCTCTCTGTGGACTGGAGTTGCCGGGGGATCTCGACCTGGAGCGGCGTGATCTCTGTGGCCTAGCAGGGCTCAGTTTCTCCTGCTTTATCTTTACTTCGGCTTCACGCTCCGGACTTTCTCTTCTCCTGTGTCGCTTCTCTTTGGCCATGCTTAAAATAATTCTCTCAAATCGACCGTTGTATAACCTAAAAAGCATACATTTTCAACCACACCACTGTATGTACAAAAAAAACAAAAGCCTCGGCATGTAACAAACTTCGCCCGTTACGCCAGGATCACGCACTTCCGCTTCCCGAGGTTCACCGAGAATTAAGCTCCGCCAGTGTCCATGTCTCACGTTGGTTCCGACATGAGATGCCGGCCAGTTTATTTCCTGTACAGCCTAAATATTTAGTGTATTGAAAAAGCTGGCACATTCTTTCATTATTTACATATTCGTTTAACACACATTACTTTTACTTGATGCAGCCAGTAAACACAAAACAAACAAAAAAGGCATAGTAAAAGTAAAAGATACACAAGGTGGTAAAAGTAAAAAACAAACAAACATCCCACTTGGCTCTTTTAAATAGATTTTTTAAAATACTGATAAAAATGCATTTATCTCAAAAGAGTTTTTGAAAAAAAAAGTGTCACTAGCCTGTACTCCTGGAGCTAAGCGCTGATTCCGCTCGCACACATTAAAACGTAACGGACATTGTTGCCAAGACAACCCAAACAATGAGCGTGAACTTTATGTAACTAAACGCTAGACCAAGAAGTTTCAGGTTTTACTGTATAAGTTTATTCTATTCCTCTATTGTAAACGACAATGATTCCTCCAGCTGACACGCTGCTGAAATACGACAATCCAGTTCTGGTCAACAAAAGCACAGACAGAAAATCACCAAAGGTGAGTTTATCGAGCCAGCCGTGTTTATGGCACAAGTCTCAGGGATAGATTTGAGATTAATGTAAAAGTTATGCTATCCAAGATCCCGAGAGTCTGATTAAAGCTTAATGCAATTATACTTACATCCACTAATATATTTGCATGCATACACAGTTACAAGGTGGTTCTGTAAGGTGTATTTTATAATAGATTTACGAAAATGTATCAGTCATTTAAAAAAATCAAATCAGGGTAATAATATGTTTGTCTGATAGTTTATGAAACATCTGTCACTACAGGGACGCCCTTTGAAAGTAAGCCCTCAGCAGCCCATTGACTCTACACCTGTTCCACCACCTCCTAAACCAAAATCAGCATCTACTGAGGCTACTAAGCAGGAAAATGAGGAGCTCCTCAATTCAATCCTCCCACCCAGGTAGAGTTTTTTTCTATCCATAGCGTGTTCTTCAGCAAGTTCAGAACTTTACAAATTTTCCTCTTACAGGGAGTGGATGGAGGGAAACCAACTGTGGGTGCAGAAAGTATCCAGTACACCTTGTACGAGAGCAGATGTGTTGCACCTAGAAGAACTCCTAAACACAAAACTGCAGCAAAGACAGGCCAAAGAAACAGGAATCTGCCCTGTCCGCAGGGAGCTCTATTCCCAGTGTTTTGGTAAGGAAGAAGCTGAGATGTTGCTGATTATAGAAGGTAGAATCAATACACATAAATACAATAAATCACATAAGTTTTTTTGTCATTCTTTTTCTTTTGAGATGAATTACTCAGACAGGTAACCATCAACTGCGCTGAGAGGGGTATGCTATTGTGGCTGGTCAGAGATGAGATTCAGATGACCATTGCTGCCTACCAGACCGTGTATGAAAGCAGCATAGCTTACGGCATGAGAAAGGCACTGCAGGCTAAGAAGGGCGAAGCTGATATGAAAAACAGAGTAAGGATATCAGGTTCCTTATGAGTTACAAATACAGGGTCACAATATATATTTTTAATACTAAGCAATTTATAGATGCTGGGAAACTTACTTCGCCACTCATGTAGTTCAGCTGTCATTTAGCTAGGAGTCCAGCAGAGAGCACAATTTCTCTATTTTACAGTTACTGTACAATGACAGTGGCTGCAGTGCTTTTTACAGGATTGACCCTGCATCAATAACAAACTCACACGTATGCGTTGTTATACGGGCAGATTTTGGAGCTAGAGAACGAGAAACAAGAACTGAAGAAGGCGCTGAATGAAGAGAAGGCTAAATGTGAAACAGTTGAGAAGATAGAAGCTGAAAAGCGACAGCTAGAGGAAAAGAGGCACGATGACGAGATCCAGTTCCTAAAGAGAACCAACCAACAGCTTAAGGTGACTTTTTCAATTACATATCAGAGAATAATTCTTGTAGATTGTGTTGTCTAAAGATTTCTTAACCACCCCTTTTTTCTTTTCAGGCTCAACTGGAAGAGATAATTGCACCAAAGAAGTAAAAAAAACAAAAACAAACAAACACTTAGCTGGCATTTCTCTGTACAAGATTGTGTTCACTTGTAATTCATCTTATTGCTTAATGATACATTAAAGTAAAAACTTAGTGTAATTTACAAATGTTTTATTGTTCTGGCATAACAAGTACACTTCAAACAACTACTGCACATTGCTCTTGAACGTCAAGAGAGCAGTCCACTTGTATATGATGAATGAAATGTCATTCAAATACAGTTCTGCACTGAGGGGACAAAGTTACAACAGTCATGAAGATAAGGCATCAAGTTGATTAAGACCACCTTAGTGTTCCACCTTCTGCCAACCTTTTTTTATCCCAATAAAAATAGCTTCAGGCTAATTTAGATACAGATTTCTTACATGTGTGTTTTATTTTATTCAACTCCAGTCTAGTGCTTCGATTTCTTGGTATTTTGACCTTCTGTGCCTGATGCTGGGATTTTTTTGTTCTTGTTCTTCACATTGTGAGTTTCATAATAACGTACGCCAACTTTCTTCGTCCTCTGAGCACGATCCATTGCTCTTCTCTGTAGAGAAAGAAAAGAGAAACAGAAGAGGAAAAAAAGTGAAATCTTCTTCTAAAAAAGACCAGAGCTTTTCATTTCCAATGTTACATCAGTAAGAAGAACATTCACCAGAGAAATCTGGCCTGTTTGACATCAGAGAGAACAAACACCGCATACCTGTTTAGACGTGAGTCTGTTCGGCTGGGCCAGGTCCTCACCCTCCTCAGCTTTCCTCTTTTTACCCCTCTGGTTTGGAGCTGAATTCAAAGAAAGATGAACAGATCTGATGTCACTGCCTGAATGTTAACTTGACGTACCCATTCAAATCTAAAGTTTGTGCAAAATATCAAGTTGATAAATATCAGTAATTGATTATTCTGTTGGAACTGCAGAAGGTTTATTGGACCTTAACCACATCTGATAAAGCCTTTCCCAAATTATTTTTACATCCAGAACCATACAAAGTCATAACAAACAAGCTGACTGACTACCTTTCTTCTGTGCTTGCTTAGTCGCTGCTGACTGTTTAGTCTTGATGTCTGTGAACACTTTGTCAGAAAGCGCCTTAGGTATCCTGTCCAAAGAAATGGAAAAAAGTAAATCATTACAAAACAAGGCAAACAGTTTATCCCTGTTGGGGTCAGCTGAAATGAACAGTAATTAAATTAGGCTCAGATTAACTATACAGCGGTTACTTGACTTTGTTCTTCAGTGTGTGCTGAAATTCAACACAAGCATTAAAGAACACAAAAGACACAAACGTTATGGCATCAAAATGATCACTGCTAGTCATCAGCAGCTTCAAGGCTGGTTAGCACGGACCACCTAAAATGCGTGGCATCTCTATGTCTGACAACTTCACATTACGTTACTGGACGAAACACAATGGTGGCAGTACACAAGACAAAGAAAATATGCGAGTGAGGTTTGGGCTTGAGCAGACTGACCGGATTGCAGAGAAGCGATTGGATTTGGCTCGGTCCAGAAACTGCTTGTACTTGGCGATTTTCACATCCAGCTCACGTATGACCTCCCGTGAACTCTTGCTGCCGTTTGTCTTTTCAGTCTGAGAGGTTGTGGGCTCAGAGATGTCAGTCACTTCATCAGCTGGTTCAACGCTTGTCGCATCTTCCTCTTTGCCTTCGTTTTCCTCTGTGCCCTCATCTTCCTCACCATCAGAGCCAGAAAAATCTGACATGTCCAGATCAGGCATGTCCATGGGAACTAAGTCTTCCTCGCTGAACTCTGGAGCCACACTGATTTTGCCAAAGTTTTGTCTGACATTAGCCAGAATCTTCTGGACCTGTTCCTTCTGTCTCTGCTGTTCTTCCTCACGTTCCTCTGAGATGGCGTCCGGATTGTCTGGTTGTTCCTTCTGCACATGCTCTACTACCTCCGACGGTCCTGCAACTGGCAGTGGCTTCTCATCCTAGCGAAAACACAGCAATAAAAACAGGTTTACACTGAGGGCACAGTTTGGTGCGCTTAAAAAGCCCTAGAGAGAAATTCAGTGTAATCTTACCTCTTGATCTCCTTCAGGTCCAGGGGGTTTCACAAAGAAGGGGATACGTCCTCTCTGCCAGTCATTCAATACCATTTTAGAGACTGTGGCGAGATCTGGCTCACCGCCCTGTACAAAAACAAGAAGAGATTGCTAAGACATCTTAAGACTTAGTGATTTAAAGCTGAAGTAGGCAGCAATAAATAAATACATTTAAAAAATATATATATATCTAGTGTTTCAGAGGCAGCTGTAGCCCTGCAGCTCTTCTGGACTCTATTTTCAGACTTAAACATTTGGCAGTGAAAGGAGAGAGTCCAAGCAGAAAGAAAGTTTGGCGGTACAATCAGTTAAGCAGAGAGTTTCCATCTGGTAAATAAGAGCTCATCGTGTCCTATGTGGAGAATGAAGTGAATGTAACTTTTTTAAATGCATACACAGCACATACATAAGACCCAAGCTCTTCAGGGGGGGAGGGCTGTTTTTGTTTCAGTCCTGCCTTCTCTAGATTTCTGCCTACGCCATATTTCAGAGAAAATGTCAAGACAGTACAGCATTTTTAGAGAGAAATAAGGCTCAAGGAGAGTCCTAAATTCAAATACATGGGAGAAATGTGCAACAATGAAGTTGGTAGGAACACAACTTTAAGGGGAAAAATGTTTGTAAAACCTGCTTTTGCAGCAAAGTCAGCAGTCATTAACTTCCCCACAAAACTACACAGAGGCATTAAAACACTTGTTTCTAGAAAAACAGCACAATAAATACCCAAGCTGAAAAGTAAACCTTAACCATTACCTCTTACACATACAATGAGTTAAAATGCTCCATTGTAGCTATAAAATTATATATTTTTTATATCATCAGAACTTATAAAGCAAATGTTTGGAAAAAATATACAAAGCAGTTTTCAAGTATAGCCTCTAAATAAGAAAATGAACCTTCAAAAGTTTCCCTGTGCGAAACGCCAGTTTCTCAAGAAAGTCATCAGCACAGTTCCAAGTAGGGATGCGGTAGGTCTTCTGAATGTATTCTGGTTTGGCCCGCTCCAGTACTGCACCGATGTGCTCCTCTGGGTTCTTGATCTTTTCCACTTGAACCTTTGCAAAAAGGGGAAAGAAAAAGATGAGTACTTTAAGACGTGAACGTGCAACCTTTCAGTTACGCTGACTTTAAGGGTGAAATGCTGAACCTCGGATGCCCCACAAGGATCCCGAGGATCAGAAATAGAGCAGATAAAGACATTTTTAAAAACAGTTGGGTATTAGTATTATGAAGCCCAAACCACTTTAAAGTCTCAGTTCGTTATTCCCCGAATCCTCGAGACTGTTAAAAATACAACATTAACAGTTCGGTGAATTATACTAAGTTACCAGGACACCATTTCTCGGATCTGTGCTTAGATTTTCAGATGTTATTGTTTTTCCTAGTTTTATGGGAAGTCCAAATAAATTCACCCTTCTTATTATACTGCACTGGCAGACATTAAAAAAACTCAAATTAATTAATAAAAAAAAAAAAATCAATTGGAATAAACTTTAAAAAACAGACTTACTACTCCTTTCAAAACAATATCAGATTCACTGTCTTCTGAGGGGTAGACAACACCAGGGCAGTCAATGAGGAAGATGCGCCTCATCAAAGTGATGTACTGCCACACCTTAAACAAAAGAGAGAGAAAGATTAATGCTGTATGTGTGGTCCATAAAATTCTGTTTCACAAACGATGAGAAACACATTTCACCTTGTTGGTATCATTTGATATAAAATCTTAAAACAAGGAAAAACTGCTGAAAGAATTATAAGTGGGAAAGCAAAATGTATGTGATCTATGAAAGTGCTACGGATCATAACCTTGTTTGGCTTTCGTAATTGCTGAGTATGTGCTGAGAATAAAACACAAGGTGGGAAATAAAGCACTGCTGGCCACAGGCCTATGAGAGTCACTGGATAGGTGTGCAGAAAAACTGCTCAGTTACAGTCCAAGCTTACAATTTTGGCTCTAAAGGTAAAGCCATTTTCCCCTGACTTTCCCCTTGACCGGTCTTTGTACGCCAAGGTTTCAACCCTTCATTTGTTTCCAAAAAGGATAAACAGATGAAGAGAGAGGAAATGAAGGATAAAAAATGGTTGTTTTTACTCTTTTACTCTCCACTTAGTTTTTCAGTTATATTTTTAAAAACAGAGGGTAGACTGCTTCTGTTATTGAAGCCATCAACATTAAGCAGCAACGGGACTTTGACTAAACCCAAAATATAATCATGTGAACCTAACTACTGTATAGTTAATACGATACATTGATTTTACCTTCGTTTCTCCAGCGAGGGGTGCAACATTGCAAACCTTCTTTGACCTCAGAGTGTTGATGATCGAGCTTTTTCCAACATTTGGATATCCGATGAAACCCACACTTATTTGTTTTTTGTCTGTGTGGAGCTGCGTGAGGGAAAAATAAAGTCAGGAAGCCTTTGTCTGTCCTCTTTGAAGGGATGTAATTCCTCTGTTGTCTCTTTCAAGCTTTTCTCAAGTATGCTGCCAGGGCAGTCAGGGCAATACATAATCTAATGTTATGGTTGTAACTGTGTGGAACACAGCACAGTTTTGGGACAATGAAGCATTCTTTGTAGTTTAGCCTCTGTAGACCACCACAGTGGAATAAAAAAAAGTGCTTCATTTCAGCTTTAATTCAAGTGGTTTAACAAAAATGCACCGAGTTAAATGTTCAGGAATTACTGCCATTTTTATACACAGTTCCCCATTTTCAGAAGCTGAAAAGTAACCTCAGAAAGACAGCCTGAAGTCTAGAACTAATGGACATCACCAGAGGCTGAATGTCCTTCTTTCACATGGTGTACCAGGCCTTTACTGCAGCTGTCTTCAGCTGCTGCCCTCTTTTGAAAAACAGCTTCAGTTTTGTCTTCTGTAACTCAAAAGCATGTTCATGTTGGGTTGAGATCAGGTGACTGTCTTGGCCAGTGAAGAATATTCCATTGATTTGCCTTGAGAATCTCTTGGGTTTCTTTTGCAGTATGTTTTGGATCATTATCCATTTGCGCAGTGAAGTGCAAATTCATTTTGCTACTTATATCA